AGAGAGAGAGAATTTTAAACAGATTTTTTATATTTTGTTGGTGTTTAGTGATTTTTTTTGGACAATTTATTAAAAAATTCTCTTTCATGTACTTTTATTCAAATTAGTTTATAAGAAATTTTTATATTCTAATAAATTCTATTATTTTGGATATTTGATTCACAAAATCTTAATTATCACATTTAAGGTATTTTGTGAATAATTTTATTTATTATAAATATTTTTTAAACCCTTAATAATTTAGTGATATGAAAATTTGCATTAAATAAATTTGACAGTGTGAATGTTCACACTATGAAACATTCAATGTGAACATTAAAGCGCACTTTACCCTATTATTATTAGAAGTATTTTGATAATTGTGTCACCTATAGGACTTAATGAAACACAAGAAAATAATTTAAATATAGGTAAGTGAAAAAAGATTTATGAATAAATGTCCATTTTTTAATATTTGTTTTTCTTATTTATTTTTTTAGCGTTAGACTATAAATCCTTAAAAATAAAAATGGATTAAATTTGAAAAAAAAATGATTCCTCAAATAAACGATGGAGTTAATCTAGTGAAGAATTCTATTGTATACACCCATACCATATGCACCTTTAATTACATTATTTTTCTTTTTTAATTATGATCAATTTTATTCTTTAGTTGTGACATTATTTTGAGATCTTTAGTTATGATTTATTTGTATTTAGTTATGACTTTTTATTTATTTATTAAGATTCAAAAATATAAAATTATGTCATTTTTTTCTGTGTTTGAAGGGGATGTACCATAGTCTTTCCCAATACTAGTATGCTTACCTTTTTGCTCATTATTTTTGTTGATGATATTTTTACACAATTTTATAAATTTAATTTTAAGCAAGACCATCACACTAATGCAAAAATAAATTTAATTTATTTACATCTTCAACTTAATATCACTAATTTCATCAGTTATTTACAATTATAATTAAAAGCATGGCCTTTAAATATTTCTAGAACACTCTAGCCTCATAAGGATAAGAAAAATAATTACGAGCTCTAATAAATACTAATAGGAGTGAATCCTACTGTGATGTGATATTTTAGCTTTGGTTTTATTTATTTTTTATTTTTTTATTCGCTACCACATCATTAGAGCTCAATTAGAACTCTAAAATTAAAGGAATGTATCATTGCTCATGGTAAAAAGTGATTTTTTGACTTTTAATGAAGTTTTTGACTTTTTTAGACAAATGATTTGGGAAGTTAGCAAAAAGTTACTTTTGACTTTTTTGATTAATATTTATTTATGATGTTAAATCACAACAAAATGATCAAACTACCCCCATTCAATTTAAAATATTTACAACTTCACCAATATAACACATTTTGACCCATGAGGGGTAAAATTGTAATTTTACCAATGGCTAAAAATCAATTTCTCAAATGTCTTTAAATACAAAAAAGCCAACTTTTAGCTTTTGTTACAAACTTAAAAAAGTGGCTAAAAGTCAAGTTCCCAAAACACCCCTTAGTGCTCGTCTGGTTTCCCTTTTGAGACTAAAAAAATCACAAATGGACAAAAAAAAGTCAAAAAATCAAAAATGACAAAAGTCACAAAAGGACAAAAAAAAATTGTTATTCCAAAGCCAAAAAGCCAAAAAATCCAAACACGAAAACCAAACAATCAAAAAAATCTCAAGCTAAAATAGTCTAAAAAAGTTAAAAAGCTAACTAAAAGTCTCATTGCCAAACGACCCCTTATGAGGTATTAATTCTCAAATTCATAAAAATAATAATAATAAATAAATAAGGCAATCACATAGGGTGTGTTTGGTAACATTTACGTTTTCAGTTTATATTTACAAAAAATTTATAAACTGATTTTTGTTTATTTTTAGAAAAACATAAACTACAAACGCGTTTGGTAATTGACAAAATGTTTAAAAAAATTTAAAAATATAAAAAATAGTGAGAAATGGCAAGTGGTGGCAAGTGGCGGCGGAAAACGGTGGTGGAAAGTGGTGACGGTGGGTGGTGGGTAGCTGGTGGTGTTGGGTGGTGGCGGGTGGGTGGTGGTGGTGACGGCGGCGGCGGCGGGTGGTGGCGGCGGCGGGTGGTGGTGGTAGGTGGGTGGCGGATGGCTGGTGGTGGTAGGTGGTGGCGGGTGGGTGGTGGGTGGTGATGGTGGTTGGATGGGTGACGATGGCGGGTGGTAGCGAGTGGGGACGTCCCTGTGAGAAGGGCGGCTACGTGGAGGCTTTTTAGACGAGAAAGGGAGGCTTTCGTCCGGCACTCGACTCAAGGAGGACGGCACCCGCATCTTTTTAGTTTATATTGATGTTGGAAAGCTATTGGTTGCTCCTCATCCTTCTAAGTCATCACCAAACTGATTGGTAAAGCATTTCCTTGGTCAAATATACTGGTAATATCATCCTTTTTTACATTACCAACCTCCTAGTGGCTGGTGGTGATGACAAGTGGCTGGTGGGTGATGGTGGCGGCGGCAAGTGGTGGGTGGTGGCTGGTGGATGGTGGGTGGTGAGTGGTGGTGGCAGGTGGTAGTGGGTGGTGGTGGCGGAAGATGGTGGTGGAAAATGGTAGCGGGTGGTGGCTAATGTTGGGTGGTAAAAAAAAAAAAAAAAAAAACTAAAAACTCAAAACGGAAACATATTTTTTGTGTTTTCATTTTTTGGCCAAATTTATAAACTAAGACCACTGATTTATAAATCAAAAATTTTACCAACACAAGTTTTTATTTGAGTTTTTAAAATTTTTGTAAATATAAATAAAAAACTAAAAACGTAAGTGTTACCAAACGGTACCATAACATTTGGCGGTTACCTACAAGATAGAGTTTTTTTTGAGGAGTGAGTTAAAACTAACTTTTTAATTTTTAACTCATTTTAAATTATATCATCACTCATATTTTTTTATACTTTAAAAAAAAAATTAAAAAATTAATTTTTAACCACCTTCCCAAAAGTTAATTCACAAGAATATGGAGGAGAATGAATAATGTGCTGCAACATGTTTTTCATGACCCTTTTTTGTTTTGTATTTTTGTTTATGTACGTGGCTAAGAAGATTCTTTAGTCAATTGCATGGTACATGTTTTTCATTAGCAAAGGTTGTTGGAATGCTAATGTGGACAAACCATGATATGCAATCCAATGTACATGCACTGAAACACACACATCATCAATGGATAATACTCAACAAATTAATTAATTCCTACAAATTCACAAAGAGAAAAATGGATCACATTAATTAATGTGTGATCCACAATTATTCTACGTGTGATATGAACTACAACTAGAATATAAATGAACTATATATTAATTTTTTATATTTCTGTGATTTTTTGTACACGTAGTATTATTGTCTTGTAAAAGAATTTATTATAAAAAAAAATTATATACTCAACAAATTTTTAGTTCAATATAAAGATTAAAGATTTACTAATTAGGATGAATTTCCTGAAAATATATTTTGATTAATTAGGAAATTGACACTCCATACTAATAAATACCTCTCTTAACTAATGCAGCAACATGAAGCTTACAAGACATCTCTTAAACTAACCAAATTTAAATGGATTGTAGAATTTTCCATGCACCCAAACAAACAACTACCTTTTCCATCCATGTAACTCAATATACAGGATATGATTTTTTTTTTTTTTTGAGTCTTAGAATTAAATCAGTGGACCCTTTTTAATATTTATTTGGATTTAGGTCATTAACAAAATCTAACAGTAAAATAAATTTAGGTAACAAATATTTAAATTTAAGTCATAAAAGGATTTATATTTATTGTTTTTTTATCTTCTATTATTGTTTAGTATATTACTAGTATATGCCCGTGCCTAAAGGCATGGTGTAAATAATATTGTGATTAAAATATAATTGTAATTTATACGTATCATGTTAAAATTTATGGAGTCTAACATTTTTTTATTCTTCTTAAAGAATTTTCAACAATTTTACTTATACGACACGCTCTATAGAACTTAATTAAAATAACAACTCCCCCTAACCTTAATGCAAATCAAAATAGTAAAATGTAAAGTAAAAAAAAATAAAAATTTATAACTCGTGCCTAAAAGCACTCTCAACAATTTTTTTGGTACCTCACACTCTACAAAACTCAATTAAAATGAACTAATTCAGAATGACAACAATTTCATTGCACTACAGAACTCAATTAAAATAAATCAATTCAGAATGACAATAGTTTCACTACATAGAACTCAATTATAACAAATCAATTCAAAATGACATACTTCATGCATAAGAGGAATGGTGAATGAACATTTTGATACAAAAGAATAATCATTATAGCTTAGTAAAAAACAAAAAAACTAATCATCCGATCAAGAATGAAAGACCAATCATTAACACACATAGAAAAAAGTAACACAACCACAACGTTTCTAATGCTGATTAGTCACCTGTAACAAATCACTCCAACACTTGAATTTGACTTTAAAAGATTAGCTAAAATAAATCATAACAGGAAAACTCATTCAAAATATTTATGAGAAACAGGAAAATCAATAATTATGAATTAAGAGAAATTGAACATAAAAAAATTTCTAACATAACTCATCTTGATAAAAACACCAGTGTTTTCCCCAATTTACCCGTAATTATCAAACTAAATAACAGCAATTATCACATTCATAAGAATGTGATCAAAATACATGATTCCTTAGAAGGTTAACCCCCCCCCCCACTTTTCCCCCCCTCCTCCCCGTTTAAAAAAAATAACCATTAAAAAAATGTAACACTTAAGAAAATTCAAACAATCGAAACTAATTGTTGCCGACAAAAGCTAAGAGGCAAAACAAACTATTGTATTAAAACTAAAAAAACAGGATACCTAGTCAAGGTTCCTCACCTTCATAAGTATGAAAGTGTATTGTAGATAATTGGTTTATTCCCTCCAAAAAAATTTGCCTTGAGTTATAATGGAGTATTATAGAACTAAATAGGAAAAGCAATATGAAGTCTTGCACTTCCTTTTACGTCCGTAGAGTTTTAAAAAAAGGACAATACTTCCAAATGCCTTCGAGAATTACCAAATGCATCCATCACTACAATCTGTGAATTAGTATTATAAAAGATTGGCTCAATTCCTTCGACTTTCCTGATCTGAAGAACCTTTACAGTTTGTTCACATAAAGCCACATAAGAAAAGTTAATTGAAGTAAGCATGCTAAATAAATAAATAGGCATTGAAGTAAAAGTCTATTGAACAAAATTATTGACTACATCATGCATGATTTCATTAGACAGTGATGAGACTACTTGAATATTTCAAATCTAAGATCTTACACAATCATTAATAGTACATTACCCCTGTTTCTCACTTAATCCCATTAAAAGAAATAAGTTTAGAATTACAAATGTATTTAAACTAATTAAAAAATTTCATGAGATCCATGGCCATCAAAACCGCCATCAAAGCCGCCATCTTGTTGTGCCCTTGGGTCAATATTCACTTATCTAGCTTTTCATTGGAAGACAAATCCGGAATATGCAAACCAAAAAAAAAAAAGAAAATCCTACATGCGAGAACAAATTAAAATTTTTTGTTTGTGATGAACATAACAAATCTAGTAGTTCATGGCAAAACTGATATTACACCTATTACTACATTCCTAAGTATATATCAGTGTCGGAATTAAGAAAAGACCACAATGTTACATTCAATTATTCGAACGTGAGGAGCTTTCAGCATGATTTTTTTTTTTCTACTTCATAAATAAGCAGACTTTATTAAAAAACATCAAGATGATGCAAAGCATACAAAAATTCAACCCGCAAAGGGATAACAAAGCTAAGAAATCAAATCATTCACAGAATCTACAAAAGCCAAACACATCTGGATCAAACAAAACATTGACTTATTGGCTTATTTGGATCACACCACATCTCTACTATCTGTACATTTTTTCGTAATAAGTCAAAAAATCAGCTTATGAGCCACATATAAACTTGACAAAACACAACCTATAGGTAACATGAAGTAAAAGTTTAACAACAATACTAATATTATGAAGCATCAATTGTTTTATAGTCTTGAATCATACTAATATTTGAATTGTTAAATAAATAAATAATAAAAAAAAATTCAAGAACCATACCAGTTGATAAGAATTTTATTCAAGAACCATCCAGGGTCTAAAAAAAATTGCAATGTCAACACTTTGAAAGTTGTTGAACCTCTTTTAAAATTTGAAAAAAAAAAAAAACTTTTGTGACTAAAAATAAAAAATTCAGCATCTCACCAAAAAAGAAAAAATAAGAAAGAAAAATGCGTAAATTATCAAAAGAAGAATATATCAAAATAGTCCTTAAACTAATCTAGCGAAGGACCTGTGCCTAAAGGCACTCCCCAACCAAAATGAAGCGTAAATTATCAACATCTGATAGTCCTTAAACTCACTGTTAGCCTCACACTCCATTTTTAAACCTCAACAGTCCTCAAGGATTCAATTTTCTCAAGAAAATCAAATTAAGGATATTAATGCAACAAAGTTCACTCTAAATATTCACCCAAAAAAAGGTTCACTCTAAATGGTTAACAATAAAGTCCAAAACAAAGAATAAAATAAATAAATAAAAGAAAAGAAAAGCAAGCAGACAAATACAAATCTAAATAAAGGAGCCCTCATATGATCTAAACAACAATGCTAGGAATACAGATGTTTAAAAACAAACCCAAAATAGAATTGTAAACATACACTAAATCAAAATCAAAGACACATAAGGATCTCATCACAGCTTGAGTTGAAAATAGAAACATTTTTAAAGATCTATTAGTTGGCATAATGGGAAAAGGAAAAAACCAAAAAAGGAAAAGTTCATTATGTAATGAAAGAGGCACAAAAATAGTAAAAGCAAAAATTAGAAAACCTAGACAACAAAACTTAAACTTTGATGAGGTGGTGGGTAGGAGGAAGGGGCCAAGCTAAGGAGGAGTTGAGAGATATCTAGAATTTGAGATGGGTGAAGTGTTAAAAAATAGACCATTGAATTAAATTAATCTAGACCATCCAAATTGCCACATAGGACAAATACATGTTCAAAATCAGTGTCAGAAATAGACCGTGGATGAAAGAGAGAAGCAATCCTAGCCATTGGATCAAATACTACCCTTGTTATATAGAATTTTCTCTAAAACTAAATTTTTGGTTTTTTTCAAATTTATTCCCCCATCACATTGCCACCACCTTCTTTGTCTTTCCCTCCTCCACCGCACACCCTCTCTGCCTCACCAACAACTTACCAAACCCATAAAGATAGAAATTCAATAAAACCAAAGTAAACCAACCAATGTGCTAAAGAAATTTAAAAGCGCATCAACTAATAAAAAACCAAAAACATTAAAATCAACAACCAACAAAAATAATGATTCATTAAGCATAATATGAAAAGTATATGTCAATTAATACCTTCAATTATTTGGATGATCTCATAAAAGCATAATCAGAATTAGTTCAATTATTTCCTGCAGAATAATGCAAAAGATCATCTAGATTCCATTGTAGATCATCAATTATTTACAATAGCTTTTGAATGTGAAAATTTCAGAAATTGATTTAGAAAAAATCCATACCAAAATTGGCATACCTTTGACATAGCTTCACCATTCTACGACCGAAGAACTAAGAGACATTACAGATTCTCTTGTAATACAAATTAAATAAAAAAAATAGATAAAAAAATTATATCAGTAATGGGAATGGTTACAAAAAATACAAACAGGTTTCATGAACCACGTAAAAAATATTCAAAATTATACAAACAATGATACTACAAAGAACAAAAATTGTGCTTGAGAGAGAAGAGGGAGTTGTAGCTTTAGGGGGGGGGAGATCGAGCAAGGCTAGAGTAGATCAGCAAAGTTGGGAAGAGAGTGGTTAGCAGTTCATTTTAATGCCAACTCACCAATAGGATTAGATTATGTGATATGCTTCAACAATAGGATTTCAGTTTGAGGTGGTTGCTGATTTTGCATATGAGACGAAAAAAAGAAAAGAAAAGAAGAGTGGAGAAGGTAGAAGAATTATCTCTCTAATAAAAAATTATACATATTATTTTGAATTTGGATGATAATGTTAGATCCAAAAAACCAATCTCGAACTTTCTTTAACCCATTTACAAATGGATGTTTTCAAACAACATCAAAGAAATATTGACATTTTCAGGGATTGGTAACACAATCTGACTCCAAACAACATCAAAAGAAAATATTAATGAATGTTTCCATTTTTCTTACAAATTAATAAATCATACAATTTTTAGATATGCCACATTACCCCAACCTAGCAAAGGGTGCAAATGAGTAGAAATTTATGTAGTAGCAAAGGGTGGAAATATATGCTTCTGCACCTAAAGTGGACAAATATATAGAAAAGCAAACAAAAAGTATATTTTTCATAAATTCAACCGCTAAAGTCAAAAAGCCAACAAATAATTTCATAAAAAATAATTCATCCACCGGGTGGTCAACCACTAAAACTTCTCCAAGATATAACTAAGCTAACCTTTTTTTCACAAAAGCTAGATATGATAAAGAAATATTTCAATGTACATAAGAAAATATCTAACCTGAAAGAAATATTATGAGAATTGAATTATAAACCTTAAAAGATCTAAGAATTGACTTTCTAAGATTGTTTCATTTTTGGGAGGGAAAAAAAAAAGGGAAAAGATAAAAAAATAAATAAATTGGTTTGCTTAATTTATTTTTTTCTTCTATAAATTGGTTTTGCTTCCTCAATTTAAGAAAAGTTATGATACACTGCTTTAGGTATTGATAAATTGCAAATAATGTCTTGCTCATTATGATCTTGTGCGAGAAACTAAACACCAACAATTTAATTCTTTTAAACTGTGTTTAGATTATGAACTTATGGATTTGAAAAACGAAATAAAAATGAAAAAGAAGAAAAAATGTAAATTATATTTTATTCATATTTTACTCACTTTTTTTCCTTTATCTTTCCAAATCTCTAGCTAAAACCCTTAATAGATTACATTTTCTTAAACAAAACCAAGAAAATCTTGAGTAGGGATGAGGTTGCCAATTAAAATTTTATTCAAGTCTAAGCATATGAAAAAAAAAACAAAAAAAAACAAAAACAAACAAACAAAACAAAACAAAAAAAAGAAAAAGAAAAAGAAAAAGAAAAAAAGGAGAAGCTAATCATACTGTAAGGTTTTATCATGAGTTGAAAAATGGTGACAGGTTATCTAACAAAAACGTAAGAACGATAATTCTTAAATTTTCTAAATTTATTTAGCTGGGTTTATAATGGCAATAAATTATAAATAACACCTCATTACATAGGTTATCTACTTGCTCTATCTAATCATCCCTTCAAGAAGATGGCAAATAGCCATATTTGCTCATGTTTCCATTGGCCTTCTGGCCAAAGCGAGGAGAAGAATGTTGTTATATTCATATAATTTTATATAATACTTTGCCATGTTCATACAATTTTATAGGTGAAAAGAAGTAAAGATTTTCACTACTCTATAAGTTCACCAACTAAGCAAACCCATGCGCAACATGATTTGTAGGGGAAATTATATAAATAGACTCATGATGGGCCCTTATGGGCTTCTCAAGTTCTCTCATACAAATTTAAACTTGAAAAAAAACCTAACCATTTTGTAAATTACTAAGAAACTTAATTGTCTTTTTTTATTTATTGAATGATATGCAATAATAAAATTTTAAAATTTTAAATGGAATCTAACACATTTTATATGATAAATCACATTAATTAATTAAAAAAATATAATTTATTTAGTTGTATAAACTCATCTCTATTATGGTGGAAGGGTGATATTTTTGAAAAACTTGAAAGTTCAAGGGCAAATTGCATTTTAGTGTATGACAGAAAAATAAATTATGTTTCAGCGATAAAACTTACCTACTTTAATCATTAAAGTGATAACCTTTTTCATAATTTTGTAATTTTTTTTTATCTTCTCATTGATTTGCAATTTGCACAAAGTTCAACTTGTTTGTCCTCTAATCGACTGGCGTATAAAAAAATGAAAAAATTGCAAATCAGTTGAAACTTCACAAAATATTTATAAATTCATGAAAAAATTATTCATTTAATAATTAAAGTTGATAAAGTTTACCACTAATTATGAATCTAAAAAAAGAAAGAAAGAAAACTCACACTCATTAATAATTTTTCATAAAAAAATCTTAATTTTTTAAAAATTAAATAAATTATTTGGCTATTATCAATTCATAAATTGATTGTGTTGTGATGGTGATATATTTTGAAGAGATTTTATAAATAAATAAAAAATTATACATCATTTTTGAGATTTTTTTTATGCAAGATTAAACTAAGAAACTCAATTAAACAATGCTGAGGATACATCCTACCAAAAAGGGCAAAAAAAACAATGGGAAGGCTAAAATAATTATGATAATCTTCTTTAGAATTAATTTTTTTTAGTAACTTTTTTATTATTTTATTTTTAGTGAACTTTTTATAAAAATTTCAAAAAAAACCTTATACTTCTAAGTTTTACTACATAATTATAATAACCTTAAGATTCTATGTAAGTTTTTTTGGCCTAATTAAAAAAAACCATGGAGCCATCCCTGTACATCCATAAAATACACACAAATCCATAATTTCCCTGTACAGATGCATATATATATATATATATATATAAAATACACACAAATGCATTTAGATAAACATTTAGAATGCCCATTGTATAGATAAACATTATTGAATCAAAGCCCACACAAATACATACATATATATATATATATATATCAGTCCCCATTATATAGATAAACATTATTGAATCAAAACCCAGGTTCTATTTGAAAAATCAGTCCCCATTCCGGTGCATATATATATATATATAAAATACTCAGATATATATCAATCCCCATTATATATGCATATGAAAAATCAGTCCCCATTGCTCACTTGAAAAATCAAAGCCCGGATATTAGTCTCATCCCCAATTAAAAAACACCCTTGCGCAGTGGCTCCATTTGTCAATATTGAAGCGGGTTTGGGGCTGCCATTGTTGATGACGATTGGGATGGTGGATGGAGTGAGGGAGGGAGGGAGGGAGGGAAGAAGAGAGGAGATGAAGAGAGTAATAGGGGGTTTGGGGTTCGGTCGCGGGCAAGGGTTGGGCTCCGACAGGGAAGCACCGGAATGGGCTCCCATGGAGAGAGAGAGAAAGAGAGATGTGTGTTCAAATTTTGAAATTAGAAAGAGATGAGGGGTGTGGGTGAGGGAGAGAAGGAGAGGGTGATTGCATTTTGGATTGAATTTTCAGCCTTTGGATTGAATCAATCTAATGGTCTATATTTTGATAAAGGGATAAAAGTCCAAATAGGAGTGAGACATTTTCAACCATTGGATTGAATCAATTTAATGGTGCATATTTTAACACATAGACAAAAGTTGGGTCAAGATTCAAAAACCTTTCTCCCTTATTATATAGATATAACTAAATATCACAAAAACTAAAATTAAAATATGTAGGTTTGGCTAAAATTTCTTGTTCCAAATATTAAAGGATTGATTATCAATTAATCCCATTAAATATATTTAAATATCTTTAAAATCATGTTGACTTTTTAAATACACTAATAAATTCTACATTATCTAAGTTATTCTCATTAAATTCTAATCTATCAAGTTATTTTATAGTACAATGCTTGGGACCCCTTTTGGGGTCACCCCCTCATCCCCTCTTTGTCACGTGGCGGGTGGTGATTGGAGGAGTAGGAAAAAAAAGAAAAAGAAAAAGAAAATGTAACCAATGAGAGAGAGAGGGGGTCAAAGAAGGTGGGAGGAAAAGGGGGATGAATCATTATTGTATTTTATATTTCATTTCCCAAAAAACTTCACACAAACATTATTCATCACCATCGCCGCCTCCATCCACTATCACCGCCGTCCATCACCATCATTGTTGGGAGGGCCATTAAGTCATGCCCAATCCTCCCAATTCCAGAATAACCCTAACATAGTTATCAATATCTATGCAACCAAACACCCCCTTTGTCCACCTAAGCAAACCAGCATGAAAGCACCGACATGATTTTCCTAACACATTTCAAAATTAGGGTCTCGTTTTGGTAAATTAATATTTTAATTACAAAATTATTAAGAAAGTCAAAAAATTTATAATTTATATTTAAAAGTCAAAGATTTAATTTTTTCTTTTACTTTTTACATATCTTTTCGTAAAAAGTCAAAAAGTCACCACAAACATACTAGTTTTTTACCTCATATTTTAGCCAAAAAAACTAAAAAGTTACTAAAATAGTCTGTTCTCAAACGAGGCCTAATTGGTGTTTTGAGAAGATGGGTACAAGTCTAGTTTTTTTGGGTTTTTTTTTTATTATTTAATATGAGAGGTAATGTGATTCAAAATTAATAAAAAATTAACTTTTAGCTTTTTTGTCCCTTCCTAAAACACCCCTAAAGAACGTCTAGTAGAATTTTCTCAATATGATTTAAGAATACAGTTATATTTTGAATTTATAAATTTTGAAATTATAATTTAAGTGTAAAAAATTTATTTGGTGAATGAGTTTTGAAAAGAATTTTGAATTGAGTGGAGAATTTTTAATATGACATATGATATTTGATATAAAAACTTATAACTCATAACTAAATACACAACTTAAAATTTTATTTAAAACTCATAAAAAAATTTTAAAAAATTTTGAATTTTTTTTATTTAAAATATAAAAAATAACTAGTGCCACTTGTTAAATATATATATATAGTTACTCTTTTGGTCAATTGGCCGATCAATCACTCGGATGTTTGACCAAACGATACCGAATGTTTAAGAGGACGATCGATTAGTATAATTTTTTCCGTTTAGAAAAGAGTTTTTAAAAGTAAATATAAAACTAATTTTAAAAAATTCTAACCAAACAAGACACTCAAAATAAAAAATACATATATTTAAAGAGTATTCTCCAAACACAACTTAAAATTTTTATCAAATATCTTCATAAAATGAGTCCCATAAAAGTATGAGTTTATGTCATGTGAGTCACTTCATAGAAATTTTGAGCGACTATCATTTTCCTTTCAAGCCCTCCCCCGCTATATATATAAATCGCTTGTCCACCCCAGACTCTCAATTCATTCCAACGCACATTTTCCTTTCCTTCATCCCAAACAGAAGGAGAGAGAGGGAGGGAGAGATTGGAAAGAAGAAAAACAATCACAACAAAAAAAAACTGAAAACAAAGTCAAAATCACAATCACAAGCACAATAATCCTCTACTACACCCAATATCTGCAAAAAGAAACCCTACATCCAATCAATGGGCGACGTGTACTGCTCGGACTGCAAGCGAGCGACGGAGGTGGTGTTCGATCACTCGGCTGGAGACACGGTTTGCTCGGAGTGCGGTCTGGTTCTGGAATCGCACTCGATCGATGAGACCTCCGAGTGGAGAACCTTCGCGAACGAGTCCGGCGACAACGACCCGGTCCGAGTTGGCGGCCCCACCAACCCCCTCCTCACCGACGGCGGCCTCTCCACCGTCATCTCCAAGCCCAACGGCGTCACCTCTGACTTTCTCTCCTCTTCCCTCGGCCGCTGGCAGAATCGCGGCTCCAATCCCGATCGATCTCTCATCTTGGCCTTCAAAACCATCGCCACCATGTCCGATAGGTCTGTATTACTCTAGTATTAGGTTATATATACATGTATATATATATATATATATAGATATATATCTATCTGTTCATTGTGAATACCCTAGCTATGGCTCTGTTTGGCTGCTCAGAAAATGTGGGGGAAAGTGAAGGACATATGATGATTTTGGATCTTAGACCATTCGTTGGTTTGCTTGATTGCGACACGTAAATAAATGAAAATACAAGTATTTGGCTTGGCTTAAGTTTTTTTTTTTTTTTTTGCTGCCCTTTTCCTTCCTCTTTTGTTGTTTTCCTTCTAAACCTAAATTGGTATAGGATTAGATGTGATATCGTCTTCCATTATATTTTTGTGATTTGTTCATTAGCCAATCAAAAAATTCATGTAATCTTGTAGTTTAATATTTGTTGACATTTGCTTGAAACAAAAATTGTGAAGTTTGCATGGATCAATACATGATGCATATGGATATGAGTTCCAGTTTGGTTAGAATTGACACTATGAAACACGGATATGGGTACAGACGCTAGTAAACATAAAAAATAAATTTTATAATTTGTAGTAGCGGATATATTAGAGAAGAAGAGGCAGAGGGAGCGCGGAAGAGGAGAAGGAGACTTACCGTAAGACGTCAATGACAAGAGATTGAGATTTAATTCTGACCAAGAGAGAGGGTTGTTGCGAAAATGCAAACAGAGAAGATGAAGAAAGGGAGAGAGTTGGAGAGGAGACCTACTGGAAAGTAAAAGCGAAGGTGAAGGCATTGATGTTGAGCAATGACAAGATTCGTGATAGAGTGTGAGACTGAGGGAGCGAGACATAGGGTTGCTCTTCTATGGATATGGACAAGGACAAGTCCAAATTCACGACTTTTTAGTTGAATTCTAACAAACTCTCTCTTCTAATTACTTTTCCTATCCCAAAGAAGTAGGTTGACTATTTTTCTCCCAGTATTATTTTCTGTTAATTGAGGTACCTTACTTGAATATAAAGACCAACTTGTTGCATCTCCACCCGAAAATATTGGTCATGATAGGACAATTGGATTCGACATCCTCTGCCGAAAAGATAAAGGTTTACCTGAAATTGCTAACTTACTAAACTTAAAGAAACTATGTTTTTCTGGTACTCTTATCTAAAATTTTCTTGTGCGTGTTACACTATTCTCTTCTCTTCTCTTCATTAATTCGTTCATTCTTTCTTTCCTCCCTTATCCTTTTTGGTTCTCATCTTTATATATGATATCTGCAAACATAAATCTAATTTTGTATATTTGTTTTTCAGGTTGGGCCTTGTTGCAACCATTAAGGTATGTTATCCATTATCATAACTGCAGACATGCATACTTTGAAGGAATTACATTCTTTTCTACAATCTTGAAAGTTTATCTGTTGCCCTACTTTATTTTATCGGGTTATTACTTAATGGAGTTGAGGAATTTTTACTTACAGCATTATCTTGGCTCGTCTAATGAGACCAAATTTGTATGCTTTTATATAGATTATTTTTCTTTGCTTTACCTTTCGACCTAAAATTTGGAAATAGAAATAAGAAATACACAGTATCTTTATGTGATCTTTGTCTTGACCTGTTTTTCGTAAATTTGAGAGTCCATTTTTATTCATCCTTTCCTTATCATCACTTGTGCGCATATAATATATATAAATTTTGTGCAGAATTTTGTGGCATGACTTTGTTAATAGTTTCAGGGACTTTACCTGTAGCCTCTCAATAAATGTAATTTTCAATGCTACCAGTTTTTGGGCTTTCAGGTTACTATGTATGTTGATAATGATTAGATCAGCAATGGATGAAGTTAGTAAGCTGACAATGTATTTACCTGTGTAGAGTGGTTCGTTATATTCGTTCTACATACCTTGGTATAGAATTGAGTTATTACTGAGTTATCTGTACTAGGATGCAGGAGGAGATGGCGGTTGAAGTTCTGTCTATACAAATACTCCTCTTCTATGTCACTCAATCTCATTGTGTAATAATTGCTTATTATACCACATTATACTGAATCAGCTCTGTGTATTTTGTTGCTTATGGGTATCCGACATATTTGCCTAGAGTTAGAGTTCTCATGAGCCATTTCTTTAGAACAAATTTTTGAACCAGTCGTCTCATGATTTTGTCTATAAAAAAGGAAGTAAGACCTACTGGTGCATAGTTGCCATTAATAGATAAAACTAATATGGAGTTCAAAACAACTTAGTTGCATCATTTTATGATACTTCTTGAATGTTTCATTCATATTAATTGGGTTAAAATGGCATATGTGGTTTAGCTTTCTTCTTGTTCTTGTGTGTTAATAAAATTCTTTGGGATAATTATACTGATCTCTCATAATGTTTTTTGACGATTATAGGGACCTTTCCTGTAGTTCATAAAATTACACTGCCCGCCCATGCTACAATAAACAGCAACCTCCAATACAACTACTAAAGTATTTCTGTCTATTTGTTAAATAAAAATTAGCACTCTGAACTTTTTCCTTCTACCGCCTGCATGTGGCAATTGAAGGCCATGTTGGCTGAAGCCAAAAGCCCATCATATATATCTAAAAAGTTTAAGAGGATTGAGCCTTTTATAAGAGAACACATTTTTAAGTTCTTCATGCTGTTTCGACGTTGGACTCTAGTTTAAATGAATAAGTCATGGAAGCCTGATCTTTATAACCTCACGTGACCACAGTGTTTTTTTTTTTTTTTTTTCTTATGGCTTTTCAATGTGAGACTGATGTGATCCATTTTGGTGTGAATCTTTTAGATGATTTTTTTTTTTTTTTTTAATAAAAAAAATTTTGTTTCGCAGAAAAGTTTTTTTTATCAAAACATGTAACTGTGATTTCAAAATTCGGAAATGGGTAGGAGTAGCACCGATAGAAGATAAGTTGAGAGATAATAGATTGAGATGGTTTGGTCATATTCAATGGAGACCAACAGAGGCAGTAGTGAAGAGATGCGATGTTGTAATGGTAAATGAAGCTATTAGGGGATGGGATAGGCCTAGATTAACGATGGTTAGCGTTGTAAATAGAGATATGGATCCACTTAATTTGACTAACGAAATGACCTTTGATGGGCCCCGTGGAGAAGAAGGATTCATGTAGCTGATCCCATTTGATGGGACTTAAGGCTGGTTTGGTTTGGTTATGTAACTGTGGTTTCAATGGAATGGTTGAAGATCATGACTAATAAATTAATGTAGATCACTTGGTAGTAAAAATGCTGCTATATAGCAAAATATTGATTAAAATGTGGAAATTTGAACTTCAAAAGAGTGAAAAACACATATCACTGAGTTTTAGAGGGCTTACTAATACTTCAGAAATTCAAGACCATGACCACAACACCTGATTCCCCAGACATATCACTCAATATTCTTGATACACTATGACCAATACCACCACGTGTCCCAATATTGCTATTTAGAACCATGAACCTAGTTTATTGAAATTTGTGGAGCTCTCTATTTTTGTCGATTGTTGTGGAGTTTTGAGAAATGCAATTAACCTCAACTTTGAAGCTTACACAACATTTATTTTATTTATGATGGTCCTGACAATTTGTAATAATCCCTAGCAAAGAGGAAGGCATTTTCTATATATATACACGATGCAAATATCTGAAACATTCCGATTGCCAAGCTGTGCTTGTCGATGTAATCACTTCTACAGTTTGTTTATAATCTGGCCTTTGAGATTTCTGCAGAGTTCTAGTACTTGTATACTACCATGGTAATGCATTTTCTTGATGATGGTTTCTTTTTAGCTTGAAGATTGTTGTTAGTTTCCTTATTTTGTACCTGTGGAATGTTATCCTTCATTTGTTACTGTGCCTTAAAGAATGTACAATTCCTCCATCTGCCTCACCAAGCTTCTTATATAACATATTTCATTCCACTCCCCTTTCTTTGCTTTTCTAGCTTCAGTATCGATGCAAATTGGATACTTCACTTTTTGTTGACGGGGCTTTCTGATTTTTTTCTGAAGGATCGGGCCAATGAGATATACAAGAAGGTAGAAGATCAAAAATCTAGTAGAGGAAGAAACCAGGACGCAATTTTGGCTGCTTGCCTTTACATAGCTTGTCGCCAAGAAGACAAGCCACGTACTGTTAAGGGTACAACCTAAGATTTTTTTTTTTTAAACGTATGGATGCTTCCTGATTTATCTCTCTATGTGAATGAGCTTTGCCTGAACCTATGGATTTCAACTAGAAATCTGCTCTGTTGCCAATGGAGCAACAAAGAAGGAAATTGGCCGAGCAAAAGAATACATCGTGAAACAACTAGAGCTCGAGAAGGGTCAGTCAGTGGAGATGGGTACTATACACGCTGGGGATTTTATGGTGAGGGTTTGGGAAATTAAGCACTTTCTTCAAATAGTTATAGGCAGCTTTTCATATTTTTTTCTTATGATCTTAATTATTTCTTGTGCTTCTGCCACTGACATGAATTTTTAATAAATTCTTTAGAGGCGTTTTTGTTCAAATCTTGGTATGAACAATCAAGCAGTTAAAGCCGCCCAAGAAGCTGTCCAAAAGTCAGAAGAATTTGATATAAGGTAGTTCTGGTTTTCTCTTACATTGCCATCTTTCAAGCAGAGACTGAATCTATTGCATTTGCATATTTAGACTCTCAAGAGATGTACTGATTCTAAATGCTCTCTGCTTCATATGCCAACCATTTATATTAAACAAGATTTAAGGATATGAAAGAGTTGGGAAAGGAGTAACCTTTAAACAAATGGAAGACGGTATTTCTTGTTTTAGATTATTTTTGAGTGTTCAACTTTGTCCCATTTCCGTGGTGGGACTTGAGCACTTAGTTCTATTTAGTTTCACCATGGAAGTGGTGGTGTGTTGGATGGCACTTAAAAATTCCCTTTTGCGCTTTCATTGTGAGACACTTCTTTGATAAGTAAAGTTTTAAATTTCAGACTCTCTTCAATCTTTTTAGCAAGTTTCAATTTACCTGAAATAGAATCTCTGTATTTTATATCCGGATTTGAATAGGAAGCTTGGATTTCTCCAATTGTGTGATGGACTGCTCTTAGTTCCTTTGCTGTCCTATTACTTGCAGGAGGAGCCCTATATCAATTGCAGCAGCTGTCATCTATATTATAACACAACTTTCAGATGATAAAAAGCCCCTTAAAGGTAAGCATCATATTATGATTCATTGATTGGGACGTGTATTCATTTGAACCTAGTTGAATACGAGGGTTCTACAAATCACATCTGAACCCATGGCAGCCTCCAGTCACCACCTGTTCTTTTTAATGCCAAAACCAACTATATTGTTTAGAATTCAGCCCATTTGATTAATTGTAGATTCTCCTGAATTTCTTTTCTCAGAAAATGAACGTGCTTATATTGTAGGGTTTGACAGGAGAATCACCTCATTTTCCCCCTCCCCATATATATATATATATATTTTATAAATTTGTTTTGGTTGTCTACAGTAAATATCTTTGGACTGATACATCTATTTGGTTCCGCTAATTTTAGTGTTTGGTTATTATCCTACACATTTGTGTGGATTTTAGAGGATGGTATTGTGCATGCAGATGTTTCAATTGCAACGGGAGTTGCAGAAGGGACAATCAGGAATTCCTACAAGGACCTCTATCCCCATATTTCAAAGATAATACCGAGCTGGTATGCTAAGGAGGAGGACCTTAAGAACCTCAGCAGTCCTTGAAATGTTGAGGAAACAATAGTAAAAAAGACAAAAAAGAGTGATTTTGAAGTTATTACTGGAGTGATTTGTTTTGGATGTTGTGAAGGACAGACAAACAAGTTGTACTCCTTTTTCCAAAGGTTGAGTATACATTTGAGTCATAAATTAAGTGCAAACTGCACATTGGTTTTACTCTTTTTTTTGTCTTTTAAAAAATTGCTTATTGTCTTCTTTTAGTTATTGTAATAACGGTTATGTCGGAATATAGTCATTGTAATAATGGCATAGAGTTTTTGTTTTTTTGTAATTTTAATAGAATAACTGACTCATTTGGCTCCTATCACTTGAAACAAAAGGCATTCATTAATGTTTTTAGTTTAAATATATTTCATTGCTAAATATGACAATTCCGTTACAAATTTGTTTGTTCGTCATTCTTAAAAATAAAATAGAGATAGCCAACACGGTTTCAGTGGTTAAAGGGGTTAAAAATGGGATGTGATAATGCTTTGCAGGTGGCTCTCTCCTTTTATTGAAATTTGAGTTCGTCTGTGGTGTGTGGTTAGAACTCTGTTGGTGTTTCGGTGGTAAGTTTCTTTTTATAAGTTGGGTCAAATTAGGTCGGGTCAAATGAGGTCGGCAGTCGGTAATTTTGGGATTTGAACCTATGGATGTCATCATAACATCTTAGAACATTTATTTTTTCAACCCAAAAAAGAAAAAGAAAAAAAAAAAAACTGATTCTTGAAGTCAAATAGACGATTCTTGGAAGTGATTATGGATGATTACCCATATTTAAAGTTTATTATTTAGGGATGACTGAATGATTGAGGACATCTTGTATTATTTCACCAATTAATATGGTATATGATTTTAATATGCGACGTGGCATTAGCATCGCCCCATCAAGAATTATACTTTGCCTATCAAGAATTATATTTCCTGTGTCTCATTTTTTTTATCTACCTTTTCATTTTAATGTCACAAAATATTTGTCCACTTTCTATTTTAAAATATTAAATTTTGTTAAATTTTTAAATTTGTCTCTTGTAAATCATTATAAACACATTTTAAAATTCAAATAGAAGGGAATAGAGGGGAAAATATTTCAAAATTTGAATTATATTGTAGTGATTACAATTTTCTTTGGATTTTCTATAATGGACAAATTAATTGGGACAGATGGAGTATGATTTTAATTCTCACCAATTTATATAGAGTGATGCTATTAGTACCCTATCTATTATTTTGGATCCCATTTATAAATTTTGAAACCTTTAAAATTTATTTTCTCCCCCCAAATAATACCAAAATTATTTTTGTGAAAACATTCCATCCATTCAATTGAATGCACACTCTTTACACCCCAAAAAAAAAATCTCTTCCAAAAATCTTAATGTTATGTTTGGTTAGGGAATTTGAAGAGGGATTTAGAAAGAGAAATAAAAAAGGTAAGTGAAATGTAAATAAAACATATTTATATTTCACTTAGTTTTAAATACTTTTTTCCTTTTCCTTTCTAAATCTCTCACTAAATCTTCCAACCAAACAGAGCGTAACAAAACCCAAGAAGAAGAAGAAGAGCCAAGTGTGATTACTATCTCTGCTCTCTCTCTCTCTCTCTCTTTCTGTCTCCTCATCCTTTTCTTCGGTTATTAATAATAAATAATAAATGTTCGGTTATCGGTTCCCCAACAAATAAATAATGTCTTTTGGCCATATGTTCGGGAATTTTGAGTAATCAAATGGTTACTACCATTATCACCAGAATATTGCCGCTAAAGGGTTTTCAAAGTTTTGAGGATGAGTAAGTTTTGAATGTGAGATTTGGAGAAGATGGATGGGTGGTGATGGAAGTGAGTGCTCTCATAAATCCCAATTTATGATGTCGTGGTATGTGGGTTTAATTGTGAGATTGGGTGTCCCAAGATTAATGATGTCATTTTTAGTAATTTTATTTAAGATTTTTTTGGGGTAATTTATTTATTTTTTATTTGAGGTTATTATTGTAATATAAAAAAAGCTAAAAATTAAAGGGTTCAAAATAATTCGTGGAGTACTAATAGCAGCACTCTTTATATATATATATATATATATTATTTTAGGATAAATTACAAATATACCTCCTGAGGTTTGCTTAAAGTACAGATTGCTCCTTGTGATTTGGAAAATTACGAACATCCTTTTGTCAAAATTTTTTATTTAACAGAATTAACTGAAAAAATGAAATTCATAATTGCTCTCTTATATAATATTAAAATTACCTAAATTATTAATTAAAATATATTTTTAATATCATTAAAAATTGTTAATTAATTTGATAATTTATTATAATTTGTTATAAAATTATAAATATCAATGACTGAAATGCAACATTTAAATTTTAAAAAAATACAACATTTTTATATACCAATATAATAATGGCATTGAGATATGTATGCATGTGATCCACTTGGACCGCACATCGGCCGATACCTTGCTTCCTTTTTAGTCATTCGTCAACACAATGGCCTCGTTTGGCCTCGTTCAGAAAGATGATTATTTTCATAGGGTATTTTAATTTTTAATTATTTTAATAAGATAAAACATTTTTATTTAAGAAAAAGATTAATTTTTTTTTTAGTTAGCGTTTGGGAAGAAGATTAATTTTTTTTTAGTTAGATGTGATATTTGTGAGAAAAAAATAAAAAAATAATAAATTTAATGTGATATTTTATCTTATTGATTATTTTAATATATTTTATCTTTTGTGGATTTTAACTCCAAAAAAGCCTAAATTGACTTCCCAAACACTCCCTATTGAAAGAGTAAATTATAAATACACCTCTTCAGGTTTGATAAAAATTTGAATCACCCATGTGATTCTAGAAATTACATTCCACCCCCGAGATTTTTAATTTCATAATAAATCGCCTATTTTATTAATAAATCATCAAGTCAATTAACAGTTTTTAATGATGTTAGAAATATGTTTCAATTAATAATTTAAGTAATTTTATTATTACATAGAAAATCAATTATAAATTTTATTTTTTTAGTTAATGTTTTTAAATAAAAAATTCTAATAAGGAGTATTTATAATTTTTCAAACTATAGTGGGTAATTTACACTTTAAGCAAACTTCAAGGGATATATTTATAATTTATCCTAAATATAATTTTAAAATACGAATTATCACTTTTAATTTTAAAAATTATAAATTATTTTCTTATCAGATATTTTTATTTAATAAAATTAATAAAAAAATAAAATTTATAACTATTTTTATATAATAATAAAATTACATTTAAATTTATTAATTGATTTTTCTAATTTATTAATAAAATAAATTATTTATTATACGACTAAAAACTTAAGATATAAGTTTCAAAATTATAAAAATAATTTGTATTTTAAATAAGTTTTAAAGTTGTATTTGTAATTTAATCCCACATAAAAAGTATCCAAGGAAAGCCCCCTCACATACTCTTTGATTTCACACCAAGCTTGATGCTTCAAGGACCACCACAACAGAGTGCAATCAGCAAGATCGATCTCAATCTGATCTTCCAGATCTGGAGGTATTTAATCTCATCATCAATCTCTTATGATCTCATCAATCTGAACTCCTTATCTTTGTTTTAGGATTTTAGATCTTCAGAACTATTTCTAAGAAAATGGTAAAATTAGGAGAATTGTAAGAGAGTTGTTGATTTAGTGGTGTTGATGGAAGTTATTGATCGAGAAAGAGAAAGATGGGTCGATGGATCTTATTTTTGGGATTGGAAGAGAGATAAATGGGAGATTATTGGGGTTTTCACAGTGCTAATTGTTGGTATGAGTGGTCTTGGGAATATTTCTTCTAACTATGTATGCCTATAGCCGGCGTGAGGGTTTGATTTTTTGATAATAATTATTTAATATTTTTGGATGATGTATGGAATGAAACCAGAATTAAGAAGAGTAACCATCATCTAATGAATTGAATTGAAAGATCAAACACTCCTTTTACCCACAACACACTCTCACCCATTTTTGTATTTAATTTGAATGTGAGATTCAACACCCATTTCACCGACAACACGCACTCACCCTTTCACCAACAACACACACTCACCGTTCATACTGAATTGAATTGTGAGATCAAATACCCATATCACCCACTACACCCTCTCAACCTTTCACCCACAACACCCTCTCACCTTTTTATATTGAATTGAACTGAGAAATCAAGCACCCATTTCACCCATAACATTCACTAGCCTACTTTTATATTAAAATGAACCGAGAAATCAAATACTCATTTCACTCATAACACTTGCTAGCCTACGTTTATATTGAATAGAATTGAGAGATCAAACACCCTTTTTTTATCCGCCACACTCCTATCACTCACTTTATATTGAATTGAACGGAGAGATCAAACACCCTTTCTATGCATTTATAGTCATCAGCTGAAGGTACTTCATTGTCAGAGGCATAAAATGATCTATACTTCGAGATTAGAGAATTGTTTCCATATTTTCTATGGGTCCTTGTGGTAGGTTCTTGATGATTTTCAAAATTTTGAGGAGAAAAATTACCTTTTTTTCCAAGTGGATGAAGGATGAAACATGTAGTGGTCATCCTATGCAAGAGAATCTTGCTTTGGAGGAGAGAAAAATGGATCATGGAAGGAACGGGTTTTGGAGGCTTGCAGAGAAGTCTGATTTAGCGCTCAAGTCACAAAGGGGACTCTTCCCCTCAACCATTACCTGCCACTATCTGATCAAAATGTTGCTAAGAGTGTTGTTTCCCTATCACCGCCACTTTTGTAGATGTGCATGTCAAGATCAGTGAGGCATGGTTTGTTAGTTGTTTCCGCATATCAAGCTACTCCAAGTTTGGTTGTAGCTCCTCCCATAGCTGATGAGAAGGCGCTTTATGTATATGCAATAAGGACGACCGTGGACGCCAATGACGAAATGTGTTGTGAATACCCAATGTAATCCTGATTTTAATTGTGCTATGCAAAAAGTTTGGATCACCAGATTCAACATTTGGGCCACCTATATCCCTTGATCTGCTTTGACAGGAAAATTTATGATTTGAATATCCTACTTGTATTTGGATTGAAGTGCCAATTTTTTGTTAGCAAATTGGAGTGGTGCATTTCTTGCAATTTTTTTTTAAAATGTAAATTTGAGAAGAATTTGATTTTGTTGTTTTGATTTTAATATGTTTTGATGATTTTCAATTTTTGTGATGCATAACCTTATTGAAACTTTAGTTGAAGCAGTCTTTTGGGAAAGTATCATATTGTATCTCATGGAGTTTGTTCAAAACATCATATTTTACAGTTGTGATCTTCAAGTTTATTGTGACTAGAGTTGGTTAAATTGACAAATTTGTTTGAGTTTAACATGGGGGCTTTTAAATATTAAAAAATAAAAATAAAAAAATGGAGAAGATCTAGTCTTGCTTAAATGGAGAAACTAACACACTGTTTATGGGCCATGTTTGTTTCACTGCAAAATTACATGCAAATGTGTAAAACATATTTTATTTTAAAATAAACAAAAGTTCTTAACAATTAAAAAAATAACTTGTTATTTGTCGACTTTTTTTTTTCAACTTAGGTTTGTTCTGGGAACTATTTAATTGATTTTTTGACTTTTTACTATAAAAAAAAAATACAAAAAGAAAAAATATGAATTATCTGTTTGATTGTATTTTTTTTTTAAAAAAAAAAACCATTTTCAGTGGTTATCAAACTTCACCTTATTAACAACTAGACAATGCAAAACTTTATGGCCCTTTCGTATTGGTACTCTGTATAGGAAAAAACTGTTCAATAATCTTGAAGAGAATTTATACTTTAAGATTAATCATCATATATTATGTTTTTTTTTCATATTTCTCAATTATTTAACACAAAATCATAGATTCTATATTCTCTATCAATCACAACACCTTTGAGCACCAAAGGTCGTGCTCCAGGAGCACCCGATAACCACTCGTGTAGGTGGGAATGGATAATATTGGTTAATTTCTTAATAATTATTTTCAAGGACGAATTACACTAACGGTCGCTGTAGTTTAAGGCTTGTGTCAGTTTGATCCTTTACCTTACAATTATGATACATTTGACCTTAAATTTTGAATCTCATTTTAAATAAAGACTATTTAAGACATCGTTTCTTTTGCAAACGAAAAATACTCTATTTCAAGGACAAAGTTACAATTGGATAAAATATAAATTAGTTTAACAAAAATAAATGTCAAAAAGTTATTTTTGAATTTTTACAAATTATTTCTACCTACCAAAGATAAATTATACAAAAATGATAAATCTTTTACATTTTTATTTTTTTATTAAATTAATTTTTATTATGAGTTTGGATGATGATCATGCAATGGGTAGTTGTTTTTGTTATTTTTTGGATGGTTATTATGTAATAGATGATTATTTTTATTGTTAACATATTTTTTTTTATGGTTATCATGTAATGGATAATTATTAAGCTTTTAATATGTAATTGATACGTTTAATATATGAAATATTTTTAATTTTTACTTTTTTTAATTTAATGGATTTGTTTAATATTGATATCAAAGTTGTCACCATATTTGACTTTTGAAAAAATAAAAATTAATTTAATGAAAATAAATTAAATTAAAAAAATTACTTTTACCCTTCCAAAAGATGAAATTATATAAAAATGATGTGTTTTTAATTTTTTTTACCAATTTAATTTTTAATTTCTATAAAAAAAATTCTGAAAATCAAACCAAACATAACTTTATAACCAAGAAAGTACCAACATTATTAATTAAAAAAAGGCCTTATATTTGAAACAATATATAAGTTAACCAACCCAAAATAAGTTGTATGATAATTTTGTCTTGCAAAGAAAACATATTTGATTGTTCTTATTTGAAACAAGATTTAAAATTCAAGATCAAATGTATCATAATGGAAAAGTCAAGTACCAAAGTGACATAAGTTTCAAACTATAGAGACTGTTAGTGTAATTCGTCCTACTTTCAATTTAAAACTAAAATTGAAGGTAATTATTAAGTTGTCTTGGAGCATTATGTGTCATTTTTTACATGATGCTTCAAATTAATTATATAGTAAAAATAAAAGTAATACTATATAAACAAAAAAAAATTTGTACATAAATTTCATATATAATGATATGGTTCATTATGGACCATTTACTTTAAAACAAAATATCAATGAAGATAAATTTATTACAATAATGACAATGCTATATCATTTTTGTCAATTTTTTTTTTTGTTATATTTAGTATTTTATGTACAAAAATTACAAGTATAACATCTTGACTCATCTTGATTAAGTGATTGTAAGATAAAAGGTAATTCATTTAATAATTTTTTATTGAGTAATGTCACATGCTGCTCTATGAATATGTGATTATTTTTTTTAAACAATAACCTTGGTTTACATCTAACCAATAACGTTGAGATAGTTTTAAAAAAAATAAAAAAATAAAAACCAATAACGTTGTGAAAAAAATTTGGAGGTGGAACAAATGTTAATTTACCTTTAATAAATAATAAAATGATAATGAAAAAAAAAAATATTGGAAGCATTACATATATAATATCTTTAAAACTACTTAATAATTTTTTTTTAGAAAGGTTCAAATTCCAAATTATGATGGAATCTTTGTCCACCGACGGAGGCAATTCATCAAAATGAAAAATTATTAGGTGCTCAAGAGCTACCACGTGTAGGGGTGAGCAGCGGATATATCAATCCGTTAAAATCGACCGAATCGAACCGATCCGTCGCATTTTGAACGGATGCGTGATGACGAGCGGACGGTTACGGATTGATTTTCTCCAATCCGCCAATTTGGCGGACGGATGGCGGATTTAAACTTCTTTTGGTCGCAATCGAACCGCCAAACCTTGAGCACCCTTAGTAATTTATAAGATTTTGTGTTTTCAATTTGTTTAAATATTTTGTTTGTGTTTTCAATTGAAAAAGAGTTCAAATATTCTGTTGAAAAAAAGTTTTCAACTTGGATATAATTTTTGAATTGAAAAAAATAAACATATTATTTATCTATATTTTTTGGTTTTTAAATCTAACTCTAAAAGTAATAAATAGAACATATAACATATGCTGATTGGTTTTTGTTTTCAAAAACATATATAAATGTAACAATACAGAGACATACAATCTCTACTATTCTCTGCTCATGGTTTTGATGGTTTGAATTGTTTTTATATTTTAAGAACCACAGATTGTAATATTTTATGTGGACGAGGCATGCAGTGATTGTGATATTCTAAAGTTTCAAACTTTCTTTCTTTGGATGATGCATGCAGTAATTGTAATACCTTTTTTTTTTTTTTTTTGAGGAAGTGCACAAGTTGAACTATGTTGAAAATTTATAAAATTTCAAACCGCCAAACCGATTCGCATCCATCCGCCAAACCGCCAATCCACATCCGCCGGATTGGCGGACGGATACGGATTGATTTTCTCTAATCCGTCAATCTGGCAGACGGATGACAAATTGGAGGTTTCGTAGCCGCAACCGACCCGCGCGCACCCCTAACCACGTGTACTTAGCATTAGCTAATTACCAATTGTCATATTCTTTTTCTATATCTCAATATAAAATTATATGTCTCCTTTTCTTTACTAATCACAATTTCTTTGGGACACTACCAAATCTTGCCCAAGATCACTAAATAACCTCTCTATGACAATGGCTTTGTTTGGCAAGATGGTTATGGTTAATTTAGCCAATTAAAAAATAAAATAGACTAAAAAATAAATAAGACAAATGCCTTGCTTGGAAAGTTGATTATTTTAATTAGTTATTTAGGATTTTGACTATTTTATTCTGGCTAAAAAAGTTATGTTTAAAAAATTAGTTGGCTCTTTTTTGTAATTGATTTGTTGATTGTGAGAGAAAAAATAAAATAATTATAGTTTGTATGTGATATTTTGTCTTATTGACTATTTTAGTATATTTTGTCTTTTAGTCAAATATTTTAACCCAACTCTCTTCCCAAACAAGACCAAAATATCACATCCAAATTATAATCATTTCATTTTTTCTCTTACAAAACTACAAAAAAACTAAAAGTTCATCCCAAATGATTTTTTTTTTTTTATAATTAGGTTAAATAGCTAAAAAATTAAAAAGTCAAAGATAAAAAAAATCAATAAGTCACTATAAGTTGGAGATTTATTTAAAGGTTGTTTGAGATGATCTAAATAAATATACTTTTTGATTTTTTATGAAATACAGGTTGTGTATGGGTTGGGTTTGAAGTGATGTGATTTAAATAAGATGACGTGATTTAAATATGATAGTGACTTTTTGACTTTTTTAGGTTATGACAAACAAGGCCTAATATTTTAACCAAGAAGTTAAAAAATTACTATAAGTTGTCACATTGATCTTTTTATATTTCTGTACATTTTTTTTTTATAAAAAAAAATTAAAAACCAACTAAAACAGTCAATTTCTAAACAAGGGTGCTTGGGATTTGGTTTTTTATTTTATTTTGATTTTGGTCTGTAGAGATTTTTTTATTTAATTTTTCAAAATGCTAAAGGCTACTAGATTCAATTCAATGAGACGAACCCAAAAAAATATTTTTAAAATTTTTTTTCAATAAAGACAAAAATAAGTCAAAAATAATAAACTTCTTTTGTTTATTTTGAATTTTTAAAATTCTTTTATCAAATTTTTGAAAAAATTAATTTTTAGATTCGTTTATGCAAGACAGACTGAAAAGATAAATAAAATTAACATATTTTTTTAAAAAAGTCACTAAAGTAAAAAAAATTCAAAAAAAGAAGTGTATTAGCTTATGTTTTTAAAGTCCACAAACATAGTTAGAGACCATTTGTTATGTGGTTATTTTAGTTCCAAAAAAAAATTATTAAAATAATTCAAAATTAAAAATTATCTTACCTTCTAATTTAATTTTTTTTTTATAATTTTTTTGCAAATTTCCTCACAAAAAATCAAAATACTTTTCTAAACATATTCATTTCTTTTATCTTATGGTTTAATTTAAAAAAAAAATCAAAAAAAGGGAGTCTTTTAATAGTCAATAAAGTAGACATTGGGTTTAATTCAGTAGTCCTATAGTAATATCTTAAAATATGGTGAGAAGAATGTTGTAAATTTAAATTGATAGAGCAGTAACAATCCTTTAATTATAATACAATTTTATTAATAAATTAACATTTTATA